CAAAATCTTTGACATATGGCAGTGTGTGTAACTAGAGCAGTAGCTCTGTGCAAAGACAAATGGGCAAGAACACACAAGGTAACCACATACACATACACTCCTTGCAGGTTTTTCTAGTACTATATAATGTATTCTAACACTAACCTTTTCCTTCATATTATTTAAAAAAAAAAATAAAAATCTGGGGCAAATTATTTTTCCCTGGCCATAGTCCATGTCTGTTTATTGAAATCATCTTCCATGTAGATAAAATACCAAGTTTTCCTCAATGTCATGTTGCATCAACATTTCAAGATAGGACAGACACCAGGCAAGGGTGTGTCTCAAAATCTCAGTTGGAGATCAACCTTGAAATAAGCAAGCTATATGCTTCATGGGTGTATCCATCCAAACACTGCTAGACTGTGAGAGCACTTTGGAAAATGCAGTACTACCTCCATTGCTTAGACAGGTTTTCTCTGAGAGAAAAACTGAGGATGTCTCCTGCAGGTCAGCCAAACTCCAACTTCTTTCTCAATCTTAATACCACGACCAAGAATTTGAGTCTCTGGTCCTTCAGTTTCTTTGAACACACCAAATAATTCTCCCTGTCATAACAACAAACCTCACGCTGGAGAAGTTCTGCCAGTGCTGTGTTCACTTTGACATGCCCACTGAAAGCAGCAGTGAAATTTTAAAATGCAGTTCCCCATGCCCTCTTCACAGCCATTGGTTCATTCAGCCTGGGGTGAATTTTGTATTAGACAAACTAAATTAGCTTCCAAGGAAATCTAGCCATACTCCAAGTTCATCATGAATGTACTCCATCCACATGGGTGGAAACAGCCAGATTCAAACTACTGGTATGTCTTTCAAACAGCTTTGCATCACAGGTAGTGGGAAAGTTTAATTAAGAGAATTACATTTATTTTGAAGTAAAGACTCCAAAATGTACGATATCGAAATTTAGATATTGTGGCTTCACTACCAAATTCTGTGTTTTCCCCATCTGCCCTTAATACTTCATACTGTGCACTAATACAAGCACAGACATCATCTGTTTTCTAAAGAAAACAGCAGATAAAAAAATCTAGTACTTTAGATTATACCCTGAATAATTATGATAAAGGTTCTTTTAGTAACAACATAGATTAGCATCCAGCATGCCAAAAAGTTTTTAATATTTTGCATGACTATAAAACATTGCATGGTTCCATGCAATGTTTTATAGTCATATCTTTCTCTTTGGACAAGAATGCCCAAGTGAATGCAGAATTTATAATTTGAAAATGTGTTTGCTTCTCATCCCAAGACTATTCATGCTACACAGGCACTACTACCACCATATTTAATGAATCAAAAACTGAAGTACTAAAATGTCAGACTGCACAACACAAGCATAGTAAGGATTTTCTTGAGATTAACAGTATCCTCTGAAATGACAAACATCTTTAAGTACAGAATAGCATTTTTCTGACAGCAGTACCTGAAGGCGACAACTTAAACTGACTAAACTGACTCCCTACCTGAAACAAACTTGAGTTCAAATGGTCACTGGCTCAGGACTCCAGATCTATCAAGCCTTCCAGCCTAAGAGTGTTAATGCCCATTATAAGCTGTGGGAATCCAGGGCTTCCCTCTGGCTGCCCTGGCAGGTCTGGGACCCTGGCAGGGGGTCAGGAACCCCCCTGTACAGAGCCCCAAGAGACACTGTCTCTGATCTCTGTCCATGGAAAAGAGTTTTCAATCTTACAGGATGAATTACCAGCTCTGAGTGTTTGATATGAGTAATAATTAAGTGTGGCATGAGTGCAGAAGTAAAATTTTAGGTTTCTAGATTAGGGGTTCAAAGGAGACAAGATAGAGGAAATTGGGTGTGTCTTGTCCTTTTTCTCCTTCTTCATGCCCTCCGTGTTTCACTGTAATATTAGCATTTTTCTATTAGTTTAGGCTAGGGACACACTGTTCAACGTAGATGATAGATATTGGCACATTATTGTAAATATAGCACACGTAGTTTCTGGTATATAATGTTTGTACCATCCCACTGAGGGGCAGAGCCCCGCACGCTGCCCTGCAGGACAGACCTGCGGCAGGGCAGCAGAACATGTTATAGATAAGCAAGAATAAACAACCTTGAAAACAGCACAAATGAATTATGGCTTCTTCTTTAGCAATGAGGCAGAAAGACAAAGACTTTCTACAATCTCAGAATCATCAATACCTACAAATTCCAACAATAACCACTCACAGCTTTCCTTTGCCCCCTCCTCTGCTCTAATCCCACCACTCCTGTCCCAGGGGAAGTTGTCTTCCTCCTCCTCCTCTCCTTGTGCTGGCCTCTATCAGTGGAACAGCAGAGCTGTTGGCTACCACTTAGTAGAAAATATGAAACTGACTCCTAGACACTGAGGCAAATGAAACATTCTCACCTGCAGGTAAGCTCCAATAAATATGGAAGAAAAATGAACAAATCCAAATTTTTGCTTTTAGGCTGAGTATCTAGGGAAGCTCTCTCCAGATCTCAAAATTAATTTCTACATTTAGAAGACTACTGTTGCTCTATGCCACACATCATTTTGAAAGTGAAACAAACCCCTGCCGAGCAGTTGCATGCGTACAATTTTATGCCAGAAATGTCTGGCTTTTAAAAAAGATACATTATTGGAATGACTTTGTCCTTTGTATTGCATACAAAAAGTGACACAAGATTAGTACATTTTCCCAGGTAAATTTTTTTCACAGAAAGCCAACAACATCATAATTAGAAAGATGACTTTAAAAAACAATCAATTAATAAAATGCAGTTTAAAAATCAATCAATCAATAAAATTTTTAAATAAAATTTTAAAATCCTTTTAAAACAATTAGTGAAATACGTTTGCAACACATAACACATCTTCATATCTTAGGAGATAACAGATCTATATCTGGATTTTATCCTAATCAACTGACATGAGGGTTAATCAGCTTCTCACTTAATTTTGGTTTTTTAAACAAATTACAATTTTACCCTTTCCTCAACTGGAAAGTTAAAAGCATATTGCCCATAAAAAGTTTATTTTGTTCAGTGAAAATGTGTACAGGAGACTGCTTACATTCTCCAGTGATCATTCAAAGAAAAGTCTGGGTAAGCTTGGAAGAGGAGACTAAATAAAATTGCAGAATGCAAAAAAAAAAAAAAAAAAAATTCAGTAATTTAGTTTGACAAATCAGCAAAATTATGTCACAAAATTTCAAGATCAGAGATTCTTGGTCACACGTGAAACACAAAAATGTGATTAAATAATCTTTAGAAAAATCATATAAATTGGAAACTGTATGGAACACTGAAGAGGATGAGCAACAGCAGATGTTGCTACTGCACAACAAGGCTGGTGCACACAAACACATGTTTTGCCTAGCAACATTCAAGACACATATTTTCCATATGTTTGTATTAATTCCTCTGCCTTTGCCATGACACCTAAAGATGCATTTTCAAAGAAGTAAGAGTACTTTTCCTAAATATGAGTCTGATAAGAAAGTAAGTCTTACCTACAGCACCTTCTGGAAAATTTAGCAACAGAAAGACTAGCTATAAATTTACAGATTTGTGACATGCTCACACTTACTATGATTGAAGGAAAGCAACATTCTTTCTACTTTTCTTGGATTATATCAAGAGTGCCCCTTATCTCAGCAGAGCAGTTTGTTATTTACAGCAACTGATTTTTCTATTTTTTTAAAGCTTTGAGAACACTCATACAATGACCAGCTGTGACAAAAGCAGCAGTCTAAGCCAAAACACTTTTAATAATGTGAATTAAAAATGAAAGCAAAGGAAGTAACTGTGAAAATTGCTAAAAGCTTGATTTGCTTTTGTACAAGATGCTGAAAAATATTAAAATACAAAAAGAAGAAAAGCTTGTGGCAGATCTAAGAGTCCCAGACATAATGAAAATTCTCAAAAACACACTACCACACTGCTTCCTAAAGGCTCCTATTCAATGTGCTGAGTTAAAACTCTCACTTAGTGAAGTGTATGCTAAAATAAAGAATAAAATAACAACCCAGGAATTTTCTTTTAACTTTCTGCAGTTGAAATTCTTTAGCTGGTGAAGTGAAAACCTGCTTATTCCTACCAAGATGAGATTCCTCTGGCCCACATGCTTCCACAAAAGGCAAAGGTGCAGTTACAGCACTCTGATGAGAAAATACTGTCCTTGACATCTTAAGAAAACACAAGGTAACTATTAATGTTATATCATATTTGGGAAAGCAGCATGGATACCAGCTACTTATCTGGGTATTAAACATGCACATGGCTACAAAATTTAGTTTCAACTACATCCTTCCCTCCTATTTTCCTCCTCTTTACAGTTATGTTCATTCTGTGGGCAATTTCTAGGAATTTCAATAAATTCATTTGGTGACAGAAACCATCAAAACCAACCTACCTTTCAGAAGAAACTCACTTCCTCCTCTGCATGAATAAGCTACTCTTTCAAATTCAAACTGTTATATATTTCTCATTTCATTGAATTTGTTACATTTATTTTAAACACAGATATACACTTACATTTCTATTTCTTATCATGCAAGTTCTAAACATGTTAAAAATACGATAATGACTGCATCACTGAGTGAGACCACCATATAGTGTTTCTGAAAATATTTGTCTGAGGTGCAGAAGGAAGAAAAATTCAATCCCATAGTCCATCACTTGCAAATGACATTTCCTTTAGGTCTTGGAAACACTAGATATACACACAAATGAACAATCACTACAATAAAGTCCTATGTGTCAGAGATCTCAGCAATATTGTAATTCCAAAATTACTTGAAGATCTCATTATCTCAGTAACTTGCTGTGTCAGGCACATGGCTTTACACTGTTAGTCTAATGTTGCAAATGTATTTTAAGTCTATTACGTTTTTAAGTTACTGCTTAAAATGAAAGACATTTCACACAAGGCTCCATACTGACTCACGCAATGAATGTCCATGTCGGCATATAAATGATTCCTTTTCTTCCTTACCTCCAGATGCTCTAAAATATAGGGAGGGTTTGTCATGCCAAGCCTCAGCATAGCTCCCTCAGGAATAACTTCAACCAGCTTCCACAGAAGCTTGGGGAGGTCTGTGCCAATGTCTCTGCCATAAGCCCCTGTGTCTTCGCTGGTCAGCCATATCTCACAAACACCCTCTGTGAATAAAAGAAAGAGATAATTAACAAATCTGTTTTAGAGCTGTTTATTTTATCATACAGCTGCTCACTCTTTTAAATGCAGTATTTCACATGGCTATTATGCAGCCAGACTGGGTATTCAATTGCAAAGAGGAGGGAAGGAGAAGGAAGGTTTATCCCATGGGTAGCAGTGGGTTATTAAGTTCATTTTATGAGCACAAGAGTGCTACAACAATGCTGTAAATTATCATTGCTGTGGAGTGATTAACATTCACAGCCAATGACTAATTCTGTGCTGCCTCTACAGCAAGTCAGACAAGTTTAATACTCTGTTTTATTTTTTGAGCCTAATTCATTAAACACCACAAGAGACATCACCCAAGCAGAGTTTGCACTAATGGTTATTACAGTAGTTAGCTTATTAACTGGTAAGCTTCCAGTGAGCAAAACCAGCTGTAAAGCACTGTGATTAACATTCCTCCTGAAGTAACTATTAAAATCTTGTATTCTTTAAATTATACAATTAGCAATGCAATATTAATGTTGTGTTGAAAAGATTAGTGACCACTGCACAACCGAGTGATAATATGGGAAAACCTGTTTCCTGGCAGTTAATGCTTCATTTTCCAGCAATCAGAACCTTAGGAAGTAGTGCAGTTGATTTATATTGTAAATAGCAACGTTGAACACTGATATTTGGTAATAATATCCTCCTACCCAAAGAGAGAAAGATTGTACCACCCTTTAATAATAGTTAAAAGCATTGAGGTTTCACACAGCCACTTCTGCCAGCCTGCCCAGCTTTCATCCTTTTTGCAATGCAACCCCCTCTACCCTTCCTTACCACCCCAAAGCAAGAAAAACACCTTCAAAAACAGGGTGTCTGTGAAGAAAACACCCTGTGATTCACAGCAAGATAAGATACCATTAACTCAGTGAAGAGTAAATTTCTAAAACCAGTCATGTACTGGTAAAAGAAATAATCAAACACTAGAAGGTTCATAATTCATCAAAGCACACTTTGGACCAGCAGAGAATGTACCAGAAAACGTAAAATGTTTATGTTACAAATTTATCAAAGGAGGAAAACTTAAGTACATACACTGATTTCAATCACATAAAAAGCAATAAACCTAGAAAACCAAATGTTTTACAAAATGTAAATTCAAGACTGCTACTCTTAAATTCACACTGTAACAAGAATGGCAGAGAGCAAGCCATGGAGTGCATCAAAGTTAATCCTCTTGGCACAGAAATGTTTTCAAGGTAATTTATTACTTGGAATGAAAAATACTTTAAAATTTAAGGTTAACTGGAAAACTTCTTACTTCTTAAGTTTTGCTTCAAGAATAGGTTTGCAAGGAAGATGTACAATTTGTATCTTGATAGAAGTCTGGTGTAAAACATTCCTGAAGTACTAAGTGCTCTTTGGTCAACCATTTTCAGTCACAAGTTTGTAGTCACACTCAAACTGAGCTCCCAGAGCAGAATCTGCCTGCAGGACACAATTACACTGTGGATTTCAGTGCACTTGCTAATGTTTTTGGAATTCATCTCACTACAGGCAGTACCCACCATGAAACATACTCTTGGGTTTGCTGACTGCCCTACATTTTCCTGAAACACATGAAAAAAGAAGTGAATTTTATATGCTGTATGTTAAAAAAGAAGAGAAATGTAAGGAAATCTAAATGATTGATAAGGTCCTGGTTTTTTTTTAAGTTTGGGTTTCTTTATATGAGTCTCCAATAGCCATAAGAACACTACACAACTTATTGATTTGCTGAGTTTCTACTGTAACAGAGTAATTCTCATTTGCAAGCTTTCAATCTAAAGAGTTGCACAGGGTTTGGGTTGGATTTCCTTTTTCTTTTTTTTCATGAAAATGGCTAATGGAATACTGCCCCACAGTTACCAGATGAACACTGAGAGAAAAAAAAAAAAATCACTGGCTTGGAATGGAAATAACATGGTGGAAAACAACAGCGAGCTTTTAAAGCTGCATAGGTGGGGACCATTAGCCCCCTGGTGGGCTGAAACTTCAAATTAAATCACAAGAAGAGGAAGCAGCTGTAATAGTAAATCAGCAACAGCAGGAATAACTGTCTCATCTGCTCTCCGATCAGGGTGTTGAACACCAAGCAATGGGAATATTGCATGCTGAGAGATCCAAGGATGTAGTCTTATTACTCGGGTGGGACAGGGGGGAGGCAGGGAGGGGGAAGAACACCTGTATTTTAGGAAAAAGTTAACGTCCCAATTTCAGGTTGACAAAATTTTCAAATATTGAAAGCTACAGTAAGTGACAAATATTTACAAGGAGGATCATTAGGATAAATCAACTTTGTACATAACTGTGTGTGATAGAGGTTTTGTGTCAACTGATTTTAGGATTTTTTTTTTTTTTTTTTTTTAGTCCTTTGCATCCCCTGTTTAGGAGCCTAAACCTACACCAGGTAAGAAGAGAAAACAATAGACCTCTCAAACAGTAAAAATGAAATCAGTCAACACCTCCCATTTTCACTCCACCCATTTCCCCTCCAAACTCCAGCCCTCCACAGCAACATGTTTAAATCCACGGTCAAATCACATAGATAATTTTTTTTCCTTTCTTTTACAGTGAACCTCATTTGATCATTCACCACTCTGTTACTGGGCAATTTTGGTGCTAATAAAGGCAAGCTGATTTTGTAAACAAGAAAATTGATCCAAAGGCAGGCTTCAGATGTGCAAACTCAGAGCATTTGTTACAGTGTTAAGGCCAATTATCGCTATATACAAGTAATTACAAGCCTGCCTTTGGTCACAGATCGTGGTTTATTTCTCACTCTGCCATCACTATCCAGCACAAAAGAGAAACCTTAACAGTTGGCCTCTGTCTCTGCTCTGCTGTAACTGGAGATTACTGAAAATGAAAAATGTTGGAAAAAGAATAGGTTCTAAGCAAATGAAGAAAGTTCTGAGACTATTCCTTCTCACACGTCTCAATATAACGAATACTCATTGCAGATTATCTGACATAGGTTTTAATTTCATTTCTGAGGGGTAAGCAATCCTTATAATAAAGAAGATAAGAAATCCTACATCTATCACTTTTACAAAATATGTGCATTCCTGGTTTAGAGACCATTTGAAATTATTAATTTCTTTAATAAAAAACTTCTAGCATTTTTATTTTGCTTTATCTTCATGTCACTATTTAAACACTGGTTTTGGCAGTACCAAATATCCTTTAAACTGAAGAGAAGTGTACTCCATCAGAAAAATGAATTTATTTCAATCTACAAAAAGATCTGAAGATGTTAAAATATTGGACACCAATCCCAGTGAAAATCTCACATTTGATAACTAACTGTACAAATGAAATTCAATCCCCAAATCCTCCTGATTTTTCTTTTCTCCTCCTTGTTCTTCTCTTTCCTGGCAGATTTTTTAATGTGAACCAGAGTGGCTTTTCCAACAGCACAGTTCTCTGCAGGCTGCTTCAGTGGGAGGCCCCTGACTCTGACCTTCTCAGTAGTCTACATATGCTTATCAATAACTGCCTGACCTCCTTGTGATTCCTTCTCCAACAGTGAATTCTTATGGCAGCCTGCACTGCTGCACAGACCACAGAAATAGCTCTCCCAGTGCACCACAGAAATCTGAAAGACCATCTGCCAAGGGGAGGCCTTACATAAATGTTTGTGTCTTGCAGACTTGAGGACAGTCAATCTGAGGACAGTCAATCTGACCATTCCTGATCATAACCTTAGAATTATTTAAAAACAAAATAATCATGGCTAAAGATTAAGCCTTAGAAAACACAAATTCATTGTTCAGAATGAGCTTAGCCTACTTTATTTTCTCTTCAATTATTTGAGTTCCTCCTTATTCATTCAGCATGGATTTTACAGGAACCATTTACATACTTGATGCAGTGTATTGTGCTAAATTACTTTGCTGAATCAGTGCCTTAACCGGGAAATTGTGAAGAACTGTGCAAATAGCAGATCACTGTACCAATCTGGATATAATGCAAGTTTAAACAGAAACTGAGATTTGGAGGAATCAGTTTTCTCCTGTAATTCTGAAGTACAGGGCTTCTGGAAGACAGAAAGAATGGAGCTGGACACAGTCCTGTACAAACCCTAGTTATTCAGATAGTAACTCACACCAAACTGTCACGGTTTGAGAAGGCAGGATTTCAGGCAAGCAGATGATGCAAGCAGATTGAAGTAAAAAAGACAGGTCTAGATTCAGATCTGCTGAAAGAAGCAAGCTGTCAGGCTATGACCTAAAGGATGAATGTTTTTTCTGTATTTTGTAAAGTGCAGGTCAACTTATGGTTCAGCACTGTATCATACAGATAAATGCAGTGCTGCAGTTCTGCTCATGGTGCACTACGTACAAACTGTCTCACAGCCTGAATTTCTAGAGGATCTTTATTAATGCTCAAAAGTATTTCCTCTTTTTAAAAGACCTATTTTTTTTTTTCCCTTCTGGACACCCTTAAGGACATGGAAGATGGTTGTACACTCCTATTTTCTTAAAGCTTGCCACAAACAGAACAAGATCTGAACAACATCATGAATGTGGGCTTACCTACTACAATTGCAGTTGTGTTCTGAATATTCCCAAGGACAGCAATACCATAGCCACTGTGGGTAATCTGTTCCAATATTTGATCACCCTAAGGGTAAAAAATTTTTACTTGTACCTAGTTGCAATTTGCAGTGTTCCAACTTGTCCAACTTGTTAACTATCATCCTACCTCTGCAAGACCTGTCTGGCTTCAAGACAGTCTGGCTCTGTCTTCTCTATACTGTCTCATTAGGCAGTCGTAAACAGCAATAACTCCTATTAGCTTTCTTTTCACAAATCCATTTCTAGTCTATTATGTGCTTCATCCCTCTGATAATTTCAATGTACCTCTGCTGAATTGCTGCAGTGTGCCAGCCTTGCCCTGAGGCGCCCAAAAATGGACAAAATAGTCTCTCTGTGATGTCTCACAATTGCCAAATCTAAGGCACCAGTCA